TAACGGAGCGGTAGGCGGCTATGTAACGGAGCGGTAGGCGGCTATGTAACGGAGCGGTAGGCGGCTATGTAACGGAGCGGTAGGCGGCTATCTAACGGAGCGGTAGGCGGCTATGTAACGGCCGTGATACTAAATAAGAAAATAATACAATTATCCTACACCAGATATTTTGTATTCGTCTCATTCTCTCAAAATTTAGTTTTTTTTTTATTATCTTTTATTACTAATTTAAAGATTTTTATTTAGAGGTTTATCTTGTTTCTGTAAAGTTCTTTTAATAGATGGCACTGTATTGTAATTCAATTATTTCGATATATTCACGTCTCGAAGCTTGCTTTTCTTAGAAAGTTTCACTTCTACCATGTGTGTCTCTGTTTTTCTTTTATTTTTTCGTTCACGTATAGTCATGCTAAAAAGGGAAAATATATGATAAGAATATACAAGCGAGGAGTAATACTATGAAAAAGTCATTTCCATTTTCTTGTCATTTTATTCCGAAGGAAAAGAAAAAAAACAAAAAAAGAAAAAAACCATTCCTCTATACTCTTCCTTCGCAAAGCTTTCTCTCCATTTTCTTCTTTTTTCCTTTTATTTTAACCTTTCTATCTTTTCCTTGTCCTTTTTCTTATTGCTTTTCTCTTTTTTTTTCCTTTTGTATTATTTCGTTAGAAGCATCAAATGTATGTTGGATCATGCAAGGAATGGAAACGAATATAAAGTATCGTAACTTAACGTTAAAAAGAAACACAGAAAAAGAGAGAGAGAAAGAAAGAAAGAGAGAAAGAAAGAAAGAAAGAGAGAGAGAAATATATTGTCTTTTTTTACCCCTTTCCTCATCCCTTACACCCTAATGTTACATATTATATCATAAGTAGTATTACCAAACGCTTTTCACGACGAAAGATATTGGTTTTCTATATTTAAATAAAAATACAAATAAAAATCAAAAAAAAAAAAAATACTCAATCCTATGCTTGAAAAAAAAATACTAATTTCGTAGTATTTAATATTATTTAATTATAATTTATTTTTATTATTATTTAATTTCAATTATTTAATGTTAATTGAATATTATACGAATGATAAAATTAATTCGTATAATTTTAATAGTATTTTACTAATTGGAAATTTAATTTCTAATTAAATAATAATTTTTAATAATTTATATATATATATATATATATAATTAATATATAATTCTATATTAATTATAAATATAGAATTATGTATAAGTGAATATTTTTCTATTTATATTATTTAATTAAGCTCAACAAATATCAGCAAATAATTTGTAACTTTTGGCTCGTAGTGTATAGGAGTAGGATGAGAATAGAAAGAAAAGGGGTGGGAAGGGGATGAAGGGTTGAAGAGACAGACAGATGAAGGCAATTACGAGACTCGATCGAAAATTCTCCACCCCTTTACTTTTTCTTCTCCATTTTTGGTCTCTTTTTCTCTTCCTCTATTTTATTTCTTTTTTCTTTTTTTTTTTTTATTTTTGTCTTTCTTGCTACTTTCATTAGCGTATCTTTTTTTTGTTGTAAAAAAATTATACGATTGACCAGAATTTTCTTTCGTATCTCAATTAATTTTCCTTGTTCGTTTGTTTTGTTTGTTTTCAGAACAACCGGTAATCCAGCTAGTAAATCACCAGCCGGTGGCAGTGCAGGTCCAACTAGCAGTGCAGGTGCTAGTGCTGCTGTAGCTGCACCAGGTAGTGCAAGTAATGTTGGACCCAGTAGTGAACCACGAACACCAACTGCTGGACCACAGAATAAACAATTACAAAATGTTAAAGGAGATCATCCATCGGTATTATAATCTTTTTATTATATTCATTGTTTGTTCATTTTTAAATATTACATTTCATCTTGTTGCAATGCATACAATTTTTATGTTTTTTTTTTTTCTAACCAATGCTTTGCAAAATTTCTTTAAAAAAAAAAAAAAAATGGTTACAAATTAGTGTACCATTTAAATATTAATTTTTTTTTTTTCAACATGTAATTATATTATAAAAATTAAATATATTTTACAATCGTACAATTTCTATTTTTTTTTTTTTTTTTTTTTTAACAAAATACTTTGCACAATTTTTTTGAAAAATAAGATAAAATAAAATTAAATAAATTGTTTATATATTTTCTAAATCTAATATTTCTCTCTCTAATAATTTTTCTATATTTATCGTGAAATAATATAATAATAATAATAATAATAATAATAATAATAATAATAATAATAATAATAATAATAATAATAATAAAATACAATCTTTTTTTTTTGCAATCCTATTAAACAATTTCTATTTTACCTCTAACCCGAATACTTTGCAAAATTTCCTAAAAAAAAAAAAATAAAATAAAATAGTTAATATATATTTTCTAAATCTAAAATTTCTATAATAAACAATTTAACAAATAAAAGAATCAATTTAATATCAAACAAGAAAAATAATAAAAATCCCTAAAGTATTCTCTGTTACACAGAATATTTCCCAAAGTATGTGTAACTTTATATTTGAAAAAAAAAACACACACACTAATGTAAATTCATACACGTCTACCTGTTTCTAAATTTTTTTTTCTCCTACCTTTTTTTTTCTTTTATTTCGTTGGTCGTCGGATAAAAAAAAAAAAAATAAAAAAAAAAAAATCCCAAACACCATATTTAATTAAATTCGTAAATAATGAATAGAGTACGCGCATTCTTCTCTCGCATAGTTTCTCGATGATATTTGCCGTATTAAAAAGTTCCCTCTCTACGTTTACAGGGTTGGGGGATAGGAACCTACCCCCGTATTTATCGATTCTATTTTCTTATCTGATTTTTTTTGTTATCCTTATAAAAAAAGATTTATAAAATTCACCCCCTCCACCTCCCCCTCCTCCTCCCCCCGCTTGTACCCTTCAGTCATTTCTTCTTCTTCTTCTTCTTCTTCGTTTTTATTTTTTTTTTTTTATTCATATTTATATGAAAAATAATATCTTTCGGGGTCAATTTTTTTTTTAACGAGACTGTATTTTACAGACACACACACACACGTAAATTCATATAAACTTCTACGGTATGAATTTAAAACGAAATTATACGAACATGTCACGCACGTGATTAAGTTTGTGTGTGTGTGTGTGTATTTTTTTTACACCCGAAAAGTATTCTAATTAAATTAGAAATTATTTTCAAATAACTTTGTGAAACTCGTTTGTTTCACAGAATTCATCATAAATTATTGATTAAATCTTTTTTTTTTTTATTTTTTTTTCTTATTCAGTTAATTTCTTTTTCGCTTGCTTGTTAGTTATGTCTCTTTGAAGCTTTTCATTTTGTAACTTTTTCGAAATTAAAATGGTCGTATAAATCGATTGACCGTATTTTAAGTAAGAAAAAAAAAAAAATAAAAAAGTAATCAAAGACCATTTCATATTTTTCCCCCAGAGATTACTAGACTCAAATTATTGAGTTGTTTGGAAAGTAATTTTGTTTTTTTTCTTGACACAATAAAGCTCATTAGTTGATGCAATCGAGCAAATAGCAAAACGTAAGATTGGTGAGAGGTTAAATTTATCAAATTCAACTATTTCAGCCAACTTCAAGGACCAAGGTTTAATCTGAAAGCGTTCTTCTGAAAGTCTTCATTTTCACAAAAAAAAAACACACACACACACACAAAATCACTTTCCGAACAACCCAAATACTATCATATTTTCAATGATATATTTTTCTGTTTCAATCTTTTTTACCAATCATTTCTATAATCTTCACAATTCACAATCCTTTTTAATTTTTAGGTTAGTTCAAACCACATTTCATTGCAAAATCATAATTATTTTTTACAATCACATGTTATTATTTCTTTATTAATTTATAAAGATTGTTATTAATTATTGTTGTTTTTTTTTTCTGATTGTAACAGAAAGCCTTCCTGCAAAGCAGATCAATCTCATTGGTTGACATGTACATTGATAATTCTGAACCAAGTGAAAGTGTTGGACAAATACACTTTAGCCTTGAATACAACTTCCAGAAAACAACCCTCATTTTAAACATCATACAGGTTGGTATATTCAATATTTATTCAAAAAATATTCATTCAATATAACATTTTATTCTATGCTAACGATTAAATGACCTTAATTACTATTTTGTGTGTTTGTATTTGAGGTTATGTTTAATTTCTTTGATTTAATTTATGGAAGGTAGAGGTAAGACAGTAACATCTCTTATGCGAGAAAATGTGACAAAGTATTCAACCTTTTCTATAAATAATAATTCAAAAACCTTCCAGAATGGCGCTGGTGTAGACAAAAGGTATGATATGAATGTAGCAATTGTAAATGAATTGAAGTATGCCGAGTTATGTAATAATGTAATAAATATAACCTTAAAGAATTATTATGAGAAAAGGTGTTAGCTAAAGTGATTTTATTTACGTGAACTGTAAATAGTACGTTTATTGATTTTTTATCATTTAATTTTATGAAAAAAGTATGTGAATAACAAAAAGCAGCTATGGGTACAATTTGTGTTGTGCAATTTGTGTTCCATGTTTATTTCTCAATTCTGCTCTAATAATATTTGGCGCTTTTTTTAAAATTTACCCTGAAGCTACTGTGGCGCCACCCTAATTGAATACATTTCGACGGACACTTTTCATATACAGAGATGTTACTCCTTACCTCTACCTTTCCTAAATAAAATGTAGATGTTTCTTTTTAGATTGAAATTTGACATAACCTCGAAACTGTAATTCAGAGGGGGTTGAAATTTTCTTTAAATCAAAATTACGAGAATGAAATTGCAAGAAAAAAAAAACAACAACAACAGAAAAAAGGAAATTACTTTGGAAAAAAGTTTTTTTTTTTTTTTTTACAGTGATACACACTCAGATAGGTTTTCAAAACTTTTTAGTATCAACTTGGAAACAATTTTTTTTTTTCTTTTCTCGATCAAAACCCACCCTTCTATTTTCTCTTTCTCTTTTTTTTTTTTTTTATCGATGTAGTTTAAAAAAGTTTTCAGAAAATAAAAGAATAGAAGAAGAAAATAAAAATAACAAAAGTATTATTACACGTTACAAATTGTTATCAACTGAATGCTATTTATATTCGTTCAACTGTAAAACTCATTAAATATCCAATAATAACGCAATTATAGAATATAAAAAATAATGTTCCAAAGTATGACGTGGAATAAAAATAAATGACTTTGCAATATGCGATAAATAAATAAATAAATAAATAAATAAAAAACAAAAAGAACAACCGAAATTTTTTATCATAATTGTTGCATTACTTGGCATGAATTTAAAAAAAAAAAAAAAGGAAAAAGTCATACTAATTATTATCGTAAAAAAAAATAAAAAAAACAACAACGAAATATTAAAATACATACAAAAGTAATATTAATTGTTAAATGTAAAATGAATAAAAAAAAAAAAAAATATAAAAAAACGATAATTATATAAAAAAAAAAAAAAACTCGTGAATAATAGAAAGGTGTAATATTCTTCTTGGAAATATACGAACAATGTTATCGTCACTCGTATGTTAATGATTTTCTAATTTAAATTTACCGATAAATGTATGCGTATGTGTGTGTGTGTATGTGTGTGTATGTGTGAATGTGTAAAAGAGAGAGAGAGAGAGAGAGAGAAAGAAGGTAACAACACACATGAATAAAGTTAGAATCGATTCGTTTACGACTTACGTCATATCGGACATCTGCATAACGGGTCTCATTTGAAAGGCGCCGATAAACAATCAGATAAACAGCATTTTGCAATTTCCTCAAACGTTACTATATAATATACACTGACAATATATAATATGTATTATATGCATCATCACTAAACAATATTGCAAGTTAAAATTATCCTTTAAACATTGTTTGTTATCTCTTGTTCTATTATCTTTCCTATGATCGAATTGTCAAAGTAAAATTAAACTTTTACATTAATGCAATGTATGTTCGATCGATTATTATTATTATTATTATTATTATTATTATTATTATTATTCAATGAGATAGGACAAATATTTAATAAATAATGTATATATATATAATGTATTTTGTATAATTTATATTTTGTATTTTTTATAGAAAGAAAAAAGAAAAGAAATAATTTATTATACGTGAGAAATTTAATTTTTTTTTAGAATAGTTAATAGTAAATGTAAAATTAATATTAATTAATAATATGTGTATAATGTATTTTTATAGTGTTTTTGTTTTATATATTATTCTACAAAATTTTTATATATTACTTTATTTTTAAATATTATTATATATTATATTTTATAGAAAAAAAAGCACACACACACACACAAAAACAAGAAATAACTAATATCAAATATTTTTTTTTTGGAATGATTGATAGTAAAATAAAAATTAATATTAATAAAATTATATATATATAATATATTTTTATAATTTATATTTTATAATATTTTATACACATATTTATATAAAAAAAAAAAAAAAATAAGTAGCAATTTATATACATCAAATATTTAATTTTTTAAATGACAGATAATAAGAAAACAAGAAACTTTAATCAATTTATTTAATTATTTTCTATCTTTATCGAAATCACATTTATGATATATCCAAAATTCACATTAATTCATGTAAATCTCTCTCTCTCTCTCTCTCTCTCTCTCTCTGTTTTCCTCTCTCTTTCTCTTTCTATAGTTTGGTTTTCGAAAATTTATTACCATTATCGACGTTTAAACTCTAGCAAGCACGTTAAATATCACGATCAGCAGAAACTAGAATGAGATAAGTTCTAACTGTTTCCTACTCTCTCTCTCTCTCTCTCTCTCTCTCTCTCTCTCTTTCTCTCTAACTTTATTTCTTCTGCTGAATTGCTTCATGTCGAACGAAAGAGAAAGAGAGAGAGTGAGAGAGAGAGAGTCAGCAAGATCTGTCGTCAACATTTTCGTTCCTGTCGAATGGAAATATCGACAACGACTACGACGTCTTTCACATTTCCAATCATGTTATGACATTTTATGGTAATTTTCACATTTAATTTTGCAAAAGAAAAGAAAAGAAATGAGAAGAAATTCCAATAAGCTAATAAATTTCTTTTTTTCTTTTCTTTTTCTTTTTCTTATATTTTCATTTTTATCCTTGATAAATTATACATACGTTTAATTACTTTTCAAATTATTATTTTGATTAAATCGGTAATTTAAATAAAAGGTCTAGGTATATACCTACGTTTTATTAATTAATAGAAAAATAATTAATATATTGCGGTTAAGGGGTTGAATTAATACAAGGATTATATTAAAATTAAAAAATAAAAGAGACGTGTGTGGGTTGATATAGAAAAAGTTTTCAACTACTTTTTATGAAAAAATATTTTCATATTTAAAAGAAACTTTTTTATATACATATATATGTATATTAATGTATAAATGCAACTAATGAGAGTGTGTACGAGTTTTGAAAAAAAAAAAAAATTGTCCCGTACCTTTTGAATATACATTAAATAATTTACAGTATGTATATATGTATATTTTATGTAAATAAATAGTCAATGTGAAATATTGATAAATAATAAACCTGATGCAAAGTTACACTTTATTGCAAATATTTGTATTAATATTTGATTTCACTGTAAGCTTATTTAATTAATATATGTACATTTATTTAATATAATAAAATAACATATATACATAATATATTTAAATTAAAATAATATTAATATAATTATTAATAATATTATAATAAATTAAAATAATATTTTCCATAGAAATCAATTCTGTCTTTATACTATCTTTAATACTATCTTATTTAAGTTAGCAGTTTGTTTAAAAGAATTTAAAAAATAAATAAGAAAAATAAAATCCCTAGAATAATACTGACCTACTACAATACAAAAAAAAAAAACAATAAAAAAAATAATATTATTCATAGAAAGATTATAATTCGTCTTTTTTTTTTGTTTCCTATCTTTGGTAAAGAAAGATAAGAAAAATATTTTTGATTTACGTATACCTTTTTCCTATGGTAAAAAAAAAAAAGGAAAAAAAGAAAATATCAGAGAGAAGAGAGAGAGAGAAAGAGAGAGAAGGAATGGAGTGGAAAGAGAGAGATGGGGTGGGTTAGAAAAATGTATATTGGAAAATGTTCGACATAAAGAAAGATAAATTGGCGATCGTGTCGTCGCGTATGACTATAGTAGATGTTGGAAATATAATAAACGATGAGAAAAGGGCCCCACTTTCACATACACACGATTCAAATCATTTCCTCTTTATTTCTTCCCCACCACCATTATTATTATTATTAATTGGCATTGAGAACTTGAAAGCTCATTGCTGCAAATCCGCAAATCTCGTCACTGTTCTCATCCCTGAGTGATCCTCATAGCCCATTCTCCTCCCATCTACCTTCTCCCATCTACGTCTCGGTCTACCCAGTTATCTTTTCCCATTCGGTATACCCAGCAGTATTTTATGCACCCTTTGATCCACCCCCATGCACGTCAAGTGACCTACCCATCTTAATCGGCGTGATTTGACGACGTTAATGATGTCCAGTTTTGTTGTACACTCAGTGTACTTCCACGTTATGGGGTTTTCTTCATTCACCCAATTCCTCATCGCATTTTGCATCGAACAACTTTATTTTCTCAAACCCATAATTTCTTGTCATCCCGTAACGTAAGTTGACCACGTTTCGGTACCATAAAGGACTACCGGTAGGATGATTGTCCTGTGTATTCTGATTTTCAAGTACCTAGATAGCAAACCACGGAGCTGAGTAATTTATTAACATTACGTAAATTGTTTCTTTTCTTAAATTCTTCGTTTATTTCATACCCATTATTTTCCATTACCCATTCTAATTTTCTGATAGAAACTAACTTAATTATGTTACATCATCACGAGTTATTCTACTATTATATTGGATATTATTTAATAATAAAGTAGATGTGTTATCACGATGAAACGTTTATAATAATGAACGAATGAGTATGTGTGTGTGTGTGTGTGTGTGTGTGTGTGTGTGAGAGAGAGAGAGAGAGAGATGGAATGATGATTATCAACGCTGACGTTACAACGTTTCGATAGATATATTCAACGTTCGATTGATTAATTCATCGAATGACTGCGATTTCCTCCTCACCACCCTCTTCCCCATCCTTCACCCTCAACTCCTCTTCGTGCTTGTCATAATATACTTACTTTATTACGAATGGATAATTAAAACGTACGAATTATCGGATGAGTAAGATAATTGATTATCTCGCATTTGTGATGTATGTTGTTCATTTAAAATATGTTTGCAATGGATCGGATTTACAAGCTTAACATAACTCATAGTAAATGTGTAATTTATTTAACGTATGTATATGTGTTTGTGTTTGTGTGTGTGTGTGTGTATCGTTGAACGAGTTTTAAATATGATAACAAGAGAAAAAAGAATAGATGTGTGCAGATCACACACGATAGAAGTGAAACCTTTAAAGAAAACCAAGCTTCAAGACGCGAATATCGAAATAATTGAATTGTAATACAGTGCCATCTATTGAAAGAACTTTACAGAACCTAGATAAACCTCTAAATAAAAATCTTCAAATTAGTAATAAAATATAATAAAAAAAACTAAGTTTCGAGAGAATGAGAGTATTCTCTTCTTATTTAGAATCACGACCGTTTCATCGCCACCCACCGCTCCGTTACATAGCCGCCTACCGCTCCGTTACATTTTTTCAAATCACACCCATTCTAATGAAGTTTTCACTTCGAAAAAATCGCTTCAAAAAATTGTGCTATGTGCTAAGTTGGAAACAAATCACTGAGTGAAATAAAAATAAATTTCATTAAGATAAATTGAATAGTTTCGAAATTATTATTAGGCAAAAACATATTGTGACATTGAATGTTTATATATTGAATTTGATTAATTAAATAATGATTTTTGTTTCATCAATTTCACGTTCATCCAATTCACGATTTTCAAATCACTCTGATACTAAAGCAATGTTCACTTCAAAATAAATGATAGGAAGGAAGAATAAAAAAAATAACACGTTGCTAAAAGCTTTTGTACAACAATCGGAAAGAAGTATCTTCGAGTTAGAGTAAATCATTTTTCTCTTTTATGTAAGTGAGGAAGGGTGTAAAAGGGTGTAGTAAAGGATGGAACAGAGGGAAATGCACTTTCATTGACGGTCAGGATTTTATTCTCGTTGTAATCCCGTTAAAAAAGTTTTTTTGCAGAAAAACATTTTGCCACTGATGAAAAAATATCGTTTTGTTTTCTGCAAAATAACGTTCACGGAGTTTTATCTTAAGAAAAAGAAAGAGAGAGAAAGAAATAGTGAGAGAGAGAGAAAGAGAGAGAGAGAGAGAGAGAGAGAGAGAGAGAAAGATATTCTGTTAGTTTACTTTAATAAATCTGAAAGATAAATCATTTAACATGAGTTAATGCTCGTATTTTGTGTTACATTTTATTATTCTTTTTTTTTTTTTTACTATCTACAAAGGAAGATTTATTTCTACAGGATATGGAAACTTACTAGTATCGTTTAAATTAAGGTTAACACAAAATAAAATTGTTCTTTAATAATTTTTAACAATAATAACAATAATATAATAATCTATATAGGATCTTTAAATAGTTGTTTCAATAATTTAATCAAATTCTTCGCAAAAAGTTAGATTTCATTCAACTTTATATTTTTTTTTTTTTTTTTTTTTTTTGAAAGTTTCGTTGTTGTTAGAAATTTCAATTTATAATAAATAGAAAGAAAAAATTATTTTTATATT